CCAGCTGCTCCGCTTCCAATCCGGCTCTGTGCTATGGCCTAGAAAAGCAGTGAAAGATGGCTCAAATCCTTGGGCCCCTGCACCCATGTAGGAGACCCGGAAGAAGCTCTTGAGTCCTAGCTTTGGATCAGTGAAGCTCTGGCCATTGTGGCCATTTGGGGAGTGAATCAGTGGATGGAAGACCTCTCTCTCTGTCTCTGCCTCTGCTTCTCTGTAACTCTGCCTTGCAAATAAATAATCTGTAAAAAAAATCAATGACATTTTTTGCATATCTAGAAAAAAACATGCCAAAATCCATATGGAAACACAAAAGACCCCAAATAGCTAAAGAAACCTTGTAAAACAAAACAAAACAAAACAAAACAAAAAGCTGGAGGCATCACAATACTGGATCTCAAGATATACTACAGGGCAGTTATAATCAAAGCAGCCTGGTGCTGGCACAAAGACAGATGTGTAGACCTATAGAACAGAATAGAAGCCCTAGAAATCAGCCCATGCATCTGCAAACAACTTATCTTTGACAAAGGAACTAAAATCAATCCCTGGAGCAAGGACAGCCTCTTCAATAAATGGTGCTGGGAAAACTGGATCTCCACGTGCAGAAGTGTGAAGCAGGACCCATACTTACACCTTACACACAAATCCACTCAACATGGATTAAAGACCTAACTTTATGACCTGATACCATCAAATTACTAGAGAACATTGGAGAAACTTTGCAAGACATTAGCATAGGCAAAGATTTCTTCAAAAAGACCCCAGAGACATAGGCAATCTAAGCCAAAACTGACAAATGTGATTACATCAAATTGAGAAGTTTCTGCATTGCAAAAGAAACACTCAGCAAAGTGAAGAGCCAACTGAGAGTTCAGAGAAATTATTTGCAAACTATGGAACTGATAAAGGATTAATAACCATAATATATAAGAGATCAAGAAACTCAGCAACAACAAAACAAATAACCCAGTTATGAAGTAGGCAAAGGACTTGAGCAATCATTTTTCAAGAGAGGAAGTCCATATGGACAACAGACATGAAAAAATGCTCAGGATCATTTTCCCTTCAGGGAAATGGAAATCAAAATGAGAATGATGTTTCACCTTATCCCTCTGAGAATGGCTTTCATACAGAAATCAACAAGCAACAAATGCTGGCAAGGACATGGAGAAAAAGGCACCCTAATCCACCGTTGGTGGGAATGTAAACTGGCCCAGCACTGTGGAAGACAGTACGGGGATTCCTCAGAAATTGGAATGTAGACCTACCATATGACCCAGCTATCCCACTCCTGGGAATTTACCCAAGGGAAATGAAATCAGCAGATGAAAGTGTTATCTTTACCCTGATGTTTATAACAGCACAATTTACAATAGCTAAGCTATGGAATCAATTCAGATGTCCATCAACTGAAGACTGGATTAAGAAATTATGGTATATGTACACTATGGAGTACTACACAGTAGTAAAAAAAATGAAATTGTCTTTTGCAATAAAAGGGTTGCAACTGGAAAATACTATACTTTGTGAAATAAGCCAGTCTCAGGACAGACAGCATATGTTTTCTCTGATCTGGAGTAACTGATAGAGTACCCAAGAGGTAATCTATGTGATGATTTTTTAAAGCCCTTGTCCCTACTATGGAGGAACAGCTATTTCTTTTTCTTCATACTATTTTTTGAACTCTCTACTTAGCATAGGGTTAACTTCACAACGGTTAAGTAAATTTAAAATAGATCTTTGTAAAAATTAAGAGTTGGAATGGGAGAGGGAGGAGGAAAAATATTTGGAGTGTGAGCAGAGGGAGGGTAGGGAGAGAAGTATCACTATGTTCCTAAATCTGTATGTATGAAATACATGAAACTTGTATAACTTAAAATTTAAAATTCAAAAAAAATTATTTTGTGCTAAGTGCAAATAAATTAATAACTAGTAAGTATAAATTAATAAACATTGTCCATTTAACTATTGAATGAATAATCAATAAATTAATTATTAAATATTCAAAACACCCACCATATAAAATCCAAATCCAAATCTCTCTCTAGATCCATGAGACATTATCAATGAGGTCATCACACAATATAGATCAATTCAGAACAACTAGTTCAATTAATATTTAATATCTACTAAAGACATAAATTGAATGTGTTTTTGAAACATGAGTGAATTAAAATATGAACACAAGTATGATCTGTTTGATCTAGAAACTCTGTCCATAGCCTATATTAATAAATAACTTTCATTGATCAGATATTAAATGAGACCATTGGCAATATTATTGTCTACCTACTTTATTGATTACATGGAAATTAATCAATACTTTTTCAATACTGTTGATAAGCAGTTGTTATTTGATTCTAGGCCATGCCCAGGGTACAATACCAATAATTAATTCATAATTAACTGATAAACTTATGGATTTTGACTGATCATGGAACGTTCTGGAACTTGATAACTTTCCTCAATTTCTGTATTTCTGGCACATTCACGTTTTTATCCTTTGAATGAATCAATGGACAAATAAATAAAAATTTTATTATATATAATATCTAATTTCAATCATTCTGTTATATGTCTAGAATTTACATGAATTTATAATTCTAATTATCAATCTGATATTTTATCATTGTGTGATAAGTTATGAGGTGGAATGTATGATTGATGGTCACCCCAGTGTCCATCAAATCATTGATTGACATATGCCAATCCATCTCTTGCTGTCAGATATTAATATCATCTCAGCAATGCCATCTTCACAGGAAGTCAGTAGGATTTTTTTTTAAATTATGATTTCTGTGAATAAAACACAGCTTTGGCAGGAGACGCTATTGAAAATAAAATCAAGTGAAATAAAATAAAATACAACACTTGGTCTCTCCCAGAGTTTACCTCCACTCAGAACCCACAGACTAACACTGGGTCTCTACCAATCAGATTACAAGCTGATCTGGAGCCAGAAGGCTCTGGGGCTGATTTTCAGGGTGCAGGATTTGGGGGTGCACATGAGCTGACTGCTTCCGGGAGATAGCAGCTCCAAGCCTGCACCCTGAGCACTGCACAAACTGAAGTGAGCCAGTGGCTTGCAGCTTGGGGCTTCAGCATTGTGGGAGCTGGGGGTGATTTTCGTGGTGCAGATTTTGGGGTTGCAAAGGAGCTGAGTGATTCTGGGAGAATGTAGCTCCAAGACTGCAGCCCGAGTGTTGTACGAGCTGATCTGAGCCAGTGTCTCCGTTGTTTGCAGCCAAGATGAGCAAGAGGAATTTTTATTTTATTTTATTTTATTTTTAATTCCCAAGTAGTTTTTTTTTTTTCAGGCGAGCATTGGAAGTGACAGGAGGCAATTACGTTCCAGGAGCCCGGCCGTGGGTTCATTTCGGCTGACACAACTCATTAGCCTAATGCACGCGCCCTGAGCTGTCCCAGGGATCCCTGCAGCGAATCTAGAGTGTAGGAGCTCATAAAATACGAGACAATAAAAAATCGAGAGCCTCGAATGGAGAAAATGCAATTAAAGTACGGGAAGGCAGAAGGCAATGGATCCACTGCAGACCTGAGCCATCCCTTTGCTGTCGCCTACCAGGTGTGCAGAGCAAGGAGCTGCAGCCAGGAACCAGGAGCTCCATCCGGGTCCCTCAGATGGGCCCAGCAGGTACACAAGACCCTGAGTGGTCCCCACGAGCTCCATCTGGGTCCACGACCCTGAGTGGTCCCCTGGAGCTCCTTCCTGGTCTCCCCTGTGGGTGCAGCCACTGCACAGGCCCTGAGCCATTCCCTGGAGCTCCATCCGGGTCTCCAATGTGGGAGCACCAGGTGCACCAGGCCCTGAGAATCCCCAGGAATTCCACCCGGGCCCTCCAAGTGAGTGCAGCAGGTGCACAGGGACCTGAACCATCCCCAGGAGCTGCATCCGGGTCTCTCCCCGGGGGTTGGGGGGGGGGTGTAGTGAGTGCACAAGGCCCTGAGCCATTCCCAGGAGCTCCATTGTGGTTTCCCAGGTGCGCACAATCAGGGAGCTGCAGCCAGGAGCCAGCAGCTGCATCTGAGTCTCCCCCAGGGGCGCAAAAGATGCAAAAGGCCCTGACTGATTCCTAGGAGCTCCACGCACAAATCCACACCATTCAGGTTAATTCTCTTGCTTGTTTGCTCCTGCTCTCGTTCTCTCTGGCTCCCAGCAGCAGCCCCAAGCCAGATTTTGCTGGGAGCAGCAGCAGCAGAAGCAGGACCAGCAACTCTGCAAATGGGCCCTCCAGAGGGCATGCAGGTAGAATGGCAACTCTGGTTCCTGGCCCCTCCGTGGCTGTCAGGGTTCATTCCTGGAGGAGGGGGGTGTGGTCTCTGGTTCTGTCCATCAACAGAACCCTCTAGGGGGGTTTCTGAAAGTCGGGGGCCCCTCTAGGTGGGGATCTTGTTACTGTCAGGGGTCCATCCACGGGGGTCTCTGGTTCTTGCTTTTGTCTGCAGCTCTTGGAGAGCTGCTGGCCAAATATTAATTTTTAAAGTAGTTTAAAATAAATATATATTATGTATATATTTTTTAATTCTGAAAAGGATGACAAATCTTCACAACACCAATCTTACTGGGCCAGGTGTTGGCAGGGTACGGAGTCCCAGGTGATGAGTAGGGAGAGGGACTCCAGGTGATGGGTAAGCAAATGAACATAAATTATAAAATAAAATATAGAATAAAAAAATAAAATATAAAATAAAACACAGCCGTGCCTTGGTGGTGTTCCAAATGACAAACCTCACCCAGATGTCCCACGTATGTCACCTGCTCGCCGACCACTTCCCTGCCAATCAACCCCCACTTCAGCTGCAGAATCTCTGCCCCCTACGTGCTAATCACCTAACTTCCACTGCGCCCAAGACCCGCCCACTTCCCTGATAATCACCCAACTTCCCGTGAGCACAAGCACAGTCCCCTCCTTGCCAATCACCCCAACTTCTGGTGCACAGAAGCCACACTCCCTCCCCATGCCCGTGCACAGGACCGCAGGACCGCAACACCTCTTGCTTTTGTTATCATTATTATTATTTAAAATCTATGTACAATATTGCACTGGCCTCTGACTGGCACCTGCCAATCACGCGCGCCAACTCCCAGCTCTCTCTGTGGCCGGGCTGGAGACTCGGCGTGCACTTGCTCCCCCTGCTACATCCGGGACCCCGCAGCGACCCGAAAGTGCCCAGGTCAGCCATCTGGAACCGCGCCACAACCAGCGCCAGCCATGCACCCTGGCTGTCCTGAGGCCATCGCTAGTCTCAGCATCTCATGGTTTGCCGAGGGCCTTCAGGGGGTGCCCACCGGCCGGGACCTCGTTCTCGGATCGGAGCTGCAACCTCGGGTTCCGGCGCGGCAGCCAGGGCGCAGGATTTGGCACTGGCACCTACGCCCGGGTCCAGGTTGAGCATGAACGGATTTCGCCACAGAGATCCCCCCCCATCCCCAGGCCTCCCTCTCTCCACACAGAGACACCTGAGGTTCCCTCCCCGGGCCCCATCGACCCCCGCAGGCAGGGTTCAGAGATCAGAGCCCCAGGGCCTCGGCGTGTTTGCGGGCTTTGAGCCGCAGGTCGGCGATGCTGGAGCTCCTGCTGCTGCTGCTGGTGCTGCCCCGGGCGACCTCGGCCAGCGATGCGGCCACGGGGAGGCCGAACGCAGGCGGCGGCGGAGGGGGCGGGAGCACGAGGTAGGGCAGCAGGTGCGGGTGCAGGTGCGCCCGTCCCACACCGTCCAGCTGGAGCTGAGCCTGCACCTGCGAGAGAGAGACGAGCTCGGGGAGGGGTCCTAGGCTCCCAGACCCCAGCCAGACGGGGAAACCCAGGCCCAGGGTCCCAAACCTCAGCCAGATGGGGAGACCCAGATCCAGTCCCCCACCCCACCCCCGACACCTCACCTGCTGGAATGGCATCCGCAGGGCGCCCATGTTCACATAGGGAGCCACACGGCACGCCTCCAGGTGATTGGCTGGCCCCAGAAGCACCCCTGCCCAGGGCAGACGAAAACGAGAGAAAAGTCCCAGGCCCCGCCCCCAGACCTGTCAATCACTCACTGGCCCTTGCACCTGCTCAGCCGCCTTGGTTTACCCAACCCCCACCCCTCTACCTCTCCTACCCACCCCCACCCACCGTCCCCAGACCTGTCAGGCTCTCACCCTTGTGCATCTGGTTCTCCTGCTTCCTGCACTTGGCTCTGCGATTCTGGAACCAGACCTGGGGGCGAAAAACATAAAATAAAAATTAACGGGACAGGCGAAGGAGCCAGGGAGGGACTGACAGGTCTGGAGGTGGGGTCATGACCACCCAGTTTGTTCCGGCCCTGCCTCCATCACCCAGGCAGATTGTGGAACATTCTGGAATGTTCTAGAATGTTGCAAGCTTTTTTCTTTTTAATTCTATGAGTTAGTTTAATTCGATGAGTTAATTTTTCCTTTAAAAAACAATAAAAAATATTAAAAATAAATAGGAATCAATAGCTATGCCAATCCAGAACCCCTGCATCTTGGCCATTATTTTTTAAAATAAACAAGTAGAATAAAAAATGTAAATAAAAATAATTTTTAAATATATTAAAATAAATTAGAGGGGCCGGCACTGTGGTACAGTGAGTTAATGCCCTGGCCTGAAGCGCCGGCATCCATTAGGGGCGCCGGTTCGAGTCCTGGCTGCTCCACTTCTGATCCAGCTCTCTCTGCTACGGCCTGGGAGGGCAATGGAAGATGGCCCAAATCCTTGGGCCCCTGTGCTCACAGGGGGGACCTAGAAGATGCCCCTGGCTTCTGGCTTTGGATCAGTGCAGCTCCAGTCCTTGCGGCCAATTGGGAAGTGAACCATCAGATGGAAGACATCTTTCTCTCTCTGCCTCTCCTCTCTCTGTGTAACTCTGACTTTCAAATAAATAAATCTTTTTAAAAAATTAGAAATAATAAATATGCCCATGCCTACCCTGCCTCTTGGCCATTATTTAAAATAAATAAATAAAATTTTTAAAAAATTTAAAAAAATCAGCATGCACAAGAGAGAGGAGAGGGGGGCCAGTGCTGTGGCGCAGTGGGTTAATGTGCTGGCCTGAAGCGTTGGCATCCCATATGGGTGCCAGTTTGAGACCCAGCTGCTCCACTCTGATCCAGCTCTCTGCTATGGCCTGGGAAAGCAGAAGAAGATGGCCCAAGTCGTAGAAGACAGCCCAAGTCCTTGGGCCCCTGCACCCATGTGGGAGACCCGGAAGAAGCTCCTGGCTCCTGGCTTCGGATCAGCACATCTTTGGCAGTTGCAGCCAATTGGGGAGTGAACCATCGAAAGGAAGGCTCTCTCTCTGTAACTCTTTCAAATAAATAAAATCTTTAAAATAAAAAAAAAAAGAGGAGAAAGGCTGCTGGCAAATTCCCCTACCCACCCCACAGAGGAAAAAAAAAAGGTAAATATTTTTAAAAAAATCAGGTCCATCCCAAAAAAGCTGAAAATAAACTTAAATAAAAATAAATATAAATAATAATTATGCACGAGCTAGGCTCCCCAGACATTAGCAGGGATCTGTCTACACCGCAGGAAGCCACTTACTGCCTTATGAATATCAGTTTCTTGTTCAATTTTATGAGCTCATAGCTTTGCATTGGGAGCCCTCTGGCAGCTGTGGGGCTATTCCGCCAAAATTAAGATAAAATAAAATAAAATCATTGCAAAGATTTTAGTGATAGTTGAGCTGGATACGGTGTTGCAAAATTTGACAGCATGAATGAATGAGTGCACCTGCCCTGAATGAATGAATGACACCTGTCTCACTTGAGCACACCTGTGTCTCACCTTTCACTCACATGTCACTCACCCTCCAGCTGTGTCACTCACCTGGACATGGGCCTCCGAGAGCCCCAGGCTCTGGCTCAGCTCCTAGCAAATGAACGCGTCCCTGTAGTGCACCTGTCACCTGTCACCTGTCACCCATCAGCTATCACTAACCTGGAAGTGGGCTTCAGGGAACTCCTTGAGCATGAATGCGTCTGGGTAGTCCACCTGTCACCGGTCACTCAGCCGTCAGCTGTCACTCACCTGGACCCGGGCCTCCGAGAGCCCCAGGCGTTGGCTCAGCTCCTCGCGCATGAACGCATCCGGGTAGTGCGTCTCCTCAAACAGCCGCTCCAGCGCCCGCAGCTGCTCCGCGGAGAAGTTCGTGCGGCTCCGACGCTGCCTCAGCCGGGCCCCACCCCCGCCGCCTTCCTCCTCCTCCTCTTCCTCTTGCTCCTCCTCCTCGGCTTTCGGCGGGCGGGGCCCAGAGGCGCCTGCGCGGGGCCAGGAGGGGTGGGGAAGAGAGAGACGCGCAGGGTCGCCCAGGAGCCCAGGGTACATGCTCAATGATCATCTCTGTTATTAAATATTGGTTAATTACTAATTATCAGTCACGAATGATCTTGATTAATCTACCACTGGTAATTATTGATTGATTAATAATAATAGATCATTAATGATTTGAGTGCATAGCTGTTAATAATTGATTTAATAGTTATTATTAGCTACTAATGATTATGATTATTTTTTGGATCCACCACTGCTGGCGACAACTGCACGCGCCGGAGCCTTCCAAATGCTTCCTTATTATTATTAATTATTAATACTTATTAACAGCTATTAATGGTTATTATTTTTCACATCCACCACTGCCAGAAACAAGCACAGTGTGTGATACCCGCAAACGCTAGGCCCTCCGACTGCTCTTTTATAATGAATTATTAGTTATGATTAATTATTATTGTTATTATATTTGCTCCACCACTGCTGGCTACTACCACGCACTTGTGCCCGCTGGGTGCGTGAGAGATCTGCACGTGCTGGACCCTACTAATACTGCTTTATTATTAATAATACTTATTACTTATAAGTATTAATTATAACTTATTAATTATATGCATTATTAATTATTAATTGTTATGAATTATTTTCGGATCCACCAGTGCTGGCTACAGCCACAACATATCAGATATGCACGTGCTGAGCCCTCAAAAGGCTGCTTTCTTATGATTAGTAATTAGTAGTAGTAGTAGTAGTACTCCACCACTGCCCACTATAACACACAGTGCCCGCTGGCTTGATCCGCTATGCTTACATGGGTTGGGCCCTCAGAATGCTACTTCATAATTATTAATAATTTCAATTATTTTTATTAATTGTTATTTATGTTCCACTACTCTTGTCTGCCACAACAGATGTGTCTGCTGGGTGCGTGAGAGACCCATACAAGCTGGGCCCTCAGAATGCTGCTGCTTTATTATTAATATTATTAATCATCATTATTATTTAGTATTATTAATTGGGATTAATATTTCTTATCGCCCACTGCCGGCCACAATGCTCCTTACTCATGCTTTATTATTAATAATAATAATATAATATTATTTCTGCTCCACTACTGCTGGCTACAATAACGCATGAGTTGCACTGGGCTCTCCGAATTCTCCTTCATTAATATTATTATTAATATTAACTAATATTATTAATGATTATTATTGCCATTATTATTTTGGCTCCACCACTCTTGTCTTCAACAACGGATGAGTGTCTGCTGGGTGTGTGCGATACCTGCACGTGATGGGCCCCTGAATACCATTTTATTAATTATTATTAATTATTATCTATTATTATTATTATTTCTGCTCCACTACTGCTGGCTACAGCAACGCATGAGTGCCCATTGGCTTTGTAGGCGACCCGTACGCGCTGGGCCATCCAAAACGAGCATTATTAATTATCAATTATTTATTAACAATAATTATTATTCACTGATTACTATTAATTATTATTTTCTGATCCACCGCTGCTGGCTACAACTACAGCGTGCAAGCCCCACATGCTCTGGTCTCTCCAGAGGCTGCCTTGTTAGTAATGATAATATTAATTTTTTTAAAGATATATTTTATTTATTTGAAAGAGTTACAGAGAGAGAGGTGTCTTCCAACTGTTGGTTCACTTCCTAATTGACCGCAACGGCCAGAGCTGAACTGATCCAAAGCCAGGAGCCAGGATATTCTTCCGGGTTTCCCACACGGGCGCAGGGATCCAAGCATTTGGGCCGTCCTCTACTGCTTTCCCAGGCCTTAGCAGAGAGCTGGATCAGAAGTGGAGCAGTTGGGACTCCAACCGGTGCCCATACGGGATGCCAGCAATGCAGGTGGCGGCTTTACCCGCTATGCCACAGCGGCGGCCCCAATTATTAATTATCATTATTATTTCTGCTCCACCACTGCTGGCTACAATAGCTGACGAGTCCCCGCTGGATTCGTCGGAGACGTGCATATGCGCTGAGCTCTCCAAAGGCTGCTTTATTATTAATAATCACAAATTATAATACTTATTATTTATTAATTAATATTATTTTGGATCCACCACTGCTGGCTACAGCAACGCTGGAGTGCCCACTGGGTGAGTGTGAGACTCACACTTGCTGTGCCCTCGGAGTTCTCCTTTTATTGTTATTTGTGTTGCACCACTGCAGGCTGCAATGCAGGAGTGACCGCTGCCTTCATTCGCGACCGGAATGCGTTCGGACCCCCCCATGCTCCTTTATTAATATTATTATTATTAATTAATTGCTAGTTGTATTATTTCTACAGCTCCCCGCCAGCCGCAACCCTGGTTTTTTTTTTTTTTTTTTCTGTTTGTTTGTTTTTGTTTTTTAAATTGTTCCCGGAGGAGAAAGAGGGGTTAATGTGGCCCCGCCAGGCTGTCCTAGCGCTCCCGGAGACCCAGATCTAGATCCCGCCTCTCTCTCCCCTCCCCCATACCGGGACACCTGGGCCCAAAGGGGACTGAGACTTTGTAGTGATTTCCCTGTTTCTCAGATAGATGTTTTGTAGTAATTCGTTCTAAGTAGGTTGATACTTTGTAACAATTCTTTCGGAAGAGTTTGATCATTTGTAGTAATTCGTTCTAAGGAGGTTAATATTTTGTAGAGATTGGTTCTGAGGAGATTGATAATTTGTAACAATTTTCGTTCTAAGGAAATTGATAGTTTGTAGCGATTTCTCTGAGGGAGAGAACTTGGTACTTTGAATGGATCGGTGAGGAAATTGATACTTTTTAGCGATACCGTGAGATTGACACTTTGTGACAATTCTTTCTGTGGAGACTGACAAATTGTAATAATTCCTTCTAAGGTGACTGATACTTCCTAGTGATTCGTTCTGAGACGGATGCTTTGCAATCGTGAGGTGATTCAGATTGTTACCATCCTCTGAGGAGAGCGACGCTTTTGTACCAGCGTCTGAGGAGACTGATGGTTTGCAGCGAATCCTCTGAGAGCGGGACTTTGTGGCAATTTCGTCCGAGGACGCGGATACTTTGTAACAATTTGTCTGAGGAGACCCACGTTTGCATCGATCCGAGAGGAGGTCAGGACTGTGTACCGAACGTGTGGGGGAGGCTGATGTAGAAATCGCCTGAGGAGTCGGACGCCTTATAGAAATCCTCTGAGGAGACGGCGCACACGCGGCGGTCGCCTCGGAGGACACCGGGACTTCGCCGCGATTTGTTTAGAGACTCGTAGCTCGAGGCGGCAGCGTGCGGAGACGACGCCTTTTAGCAGATCCTCTGTTCTGCTCGGGTCGTCTAAGGAGACTGGTATTTGTAGCCATAGCCCGAGGAGACTGGCACCTCATGCGGCTCCTCTGAGAAGACTGATGTTTAAAGCACCTGCCTGAGGAGACCGGAACCGGGACTCTGTGCGAATCCTCTGAGGAGATAGGACTTTGTGCGAATCCTCTGAGGAGACCGGAACCGGGACTCTGTGCGAATCCTCTGAGGAGACCGGAACCGGGACTCTGTGCGAATCCTCTGAGGAGACCGGAACCGGGACTCTGTGCGAATCCGCTGAGGAGACCCGGACTCTGTGCGAATCCGCTGAGGAGACCCGGGCTTCCTAACAATTTGTCTGAGGAGACCCATGTTTTGTACGGACCTGTGAGGAGACCGACACTTTGTGCGAATCCTCTGAGAAGACCGGACTTTGTGCCAATCGGCTGAGGAGTTGGACGCTTTGTCAGAATCTGTCTGAGGAGACCAGGACTTTGCAAGGATTCGTCTGAAGAGACCCAAGTTTTGTACCGAACTCTGAGGAGACCACGAGTGTCTCGCGATCGTCTGCGGAGAATGGGACTTGGCAGGACTCGTGTCTGAGGAGAGTCCCTCCCGATACCGACCGTCTGAGAAGACCGATCTGATTTTGCAGCGATCGTGAGGAGACCACGACTTTGCGCCAGTCCTCTGAACAGCGCGACCCCTCAGCCCCGGTCTGGAAGCAAGTGAGCGGGAGACCGAGAGAGAGAGAGAGAGAGAGAGAGAGAGAGAGAGAGAGAGAGAGAGACCGCGAGACAGAGAGAGAGACCGCGAGACAGAGCTAGAGAGACAGAGACAGAGCGAGAGACACGGCATGGTGGGGGAGGGGAACCTTACCTCCAGGGGTAGCCTTGGCCGCTCCCAGGTCCCGGATCCTGTCCTGGTCGCCGCCGTCCACCGGGTCCTTGAACAGCTGCAGGGGACTGTCGTCGATATGGTCCGCCGCGGCCCCGCGCTCCAGAATTTGGCGGTAGGTGACTGCGTCTCCCTTACGTCCTCCGACTCGGTCCTGGGGACTTCTAGAGTCGAAAGATTTCGATACGAAAGCCCGGAGTTCCTCCATGGCTCCGCCGCGGTCTGCCGCGGGGGTGCTGTCCACCGGGTCCTCCGGGGCGCGCGCGCTGGCTGCGGGGCGCCCTCGGAATTTGGCATCGCGCTATTTATACGGCTCTGCCTCGGCGCCCAGCCCCCAGCTGGCTCTCTCGCTCACTCTCTCGTTCTCTCGCTCGCTCTGTCTGGAGCAATTAGGGGCTCCGACGCGGACGCGGGCGCAGACGCCAGCTCGCTCCCCGCCCCCCTGCTGGGTGTATCGCCGCGGGGCGTCCGAAAGGGAGAGAGAGAGCGAGAGAGCGAGAAAGCGAGCGAACAGGTAGGAAGAGGAGGAAGACCTGACCTCGGCGGTAGTGGCGCAGGCTGTGTAGACGCGGCCTGCGGTGTAGACAATACGGGCACACTCGCATCGAATCCGCATCCCGGAATCCCTTCCCCCCCTCTTCCTCAGCTTCTTCCTCCTGGCTCTGGATCCTCAAAGGGGGGGAGGTGGTGACGTCACTCTGACAGGGTCTCCTCACCCCTACCCCTCCCCTACTCCCGGTTACCTCCAGGGCTCCCCGGAGAAATTCTCTGTCAGGATTTTTCATTTTCAATTACGTCAGAGTTTAAAATTGGTTTTAAATTACATCAGAGTTTTTAATGATTTTTTAATTACGTCAGAGCTCAGGGAATTCCTTCCATGGGTGGGGGTCGCTGTCTGTCCGGCTCGCAGGCCTGGCCGATTTGGGGTTTGTGTGACAGCGGCTCTTACAGAAAAATGAGAATATATTTTTTATATTTTTAAAATATATTTGTAATTATTTTATATATTTTATATGCTTCTTATATTAAATACTTTATATACAAAATTTCATGAGAATAAAATATTTTCGTATAGAAAAATCCATGAGTATATCGATTTTAAATTTTATATATATTAATATTTCAAATATATACTTAATATTTTATATATAAAATCCATGAATATATATTTTAAATATATTTTAATATATTCTTTATTTTAAAATTTTTTGTATTTTTAAGTTATTTTCTATATTTTTAACGTATTTTTTGTATAAAACCAGACTTCCGCGGCGCTCGCGCGCTCTCTCCGCCCGTCGCGCAGGCCGCGGCCTCCAGGGCAGCGAGCGGCTGGCTGACTCCGTGTCCCCGTCATCCGAGGTGTTGCGCTTCTTGTGAGGCCATGAACACTTTGTATGAGGAGCTGGCACTTTGCACCGATCTGTGAGGAGTGACATTCTGTACAGACCTATGTGAGGAGGCTGACACCGCGTATCGATCTGTGAGGAAACTGGTACTCGATTGCGTTTTTGAGATTGATACTTCCTAGTGATCGTCTAAGATGACTGACATTTGTGAGACTGACACTTTGCATTGATCAGTAAGGAGGTGGATGCTTTGTAGAGATTATCTGAGGAGATATGGATACATTGTAGCCATCTTTGTGAAGTGATTGACAATTTGAATCCATCCTCTGAGACTGACAGTTTGCAGCAGTGATTTGAAGTGATTGACAGTTGTAGTGTCCGCGTGGGCGGACCCCCGCGCCCCAGGAATCACTGGGAGCTTGTATGAGAGACAGAGATAGAGGCAGAGAGAGATGGCAGGCGGAGCCAGTGGAAACCCGAAACTGATCCGTGGCTGCTGATCTGGACTGCCGGACGCCTCAAATACCTGTTTATTAAAAATTATCATTAGTATTTATTATTTAAAATTATTATTTTAAAATCATTATTTTAAAAGTTATTACTATTTTTAAATATTATTGTTTTTATTTTTGTGGGTTTTTTTGTTTTTTGGGGGTTTGGATTTTTTGTGTTTTAGGTTTTGGAAAGTATTTTTATTTTTTTGTTTTATTTTAAAATTTGTTTCCTTTTTTGGGGGGGGTAGTTTTTTTGCAAAGCAATTTGGACTCGGGAGCCTTCCTCCTCTTCCTTCTCCTCCTCCTGGCCAAAAAAAAAAAAAAAAAAAATTTAAAAATCCAGAACCCAGCGCTGCTGCTGCACAAAATATTAATATTATTAATAATAATAAATTTTCAGGGAGATGAATGTAATCTTTGCAAAAAATATGAATATTCATCAGCTTCGCTCCAACAGATGCCGGCGTTCGAGCTCTTAGGAATTCGGAAACAAATCCCCTGGGCACACCGGAATCCTCAGCATCGCTCAGACTAAAATAAAATAAAACCCAGCGCCAAAGGAGTTGTTTAATTTCCGTGGCCGCAATCGTCAAGGCCGTGACGACGACTTTTAATCGGAGCCTCAGCCGCGCTCAGCAGCAGACGGGACAGGATCTAATGATTTTTTATAAATTGATTTATTGATTTTCTTGGGTTCGTTGCTGCTGCTGAGCGCAGAGCAGGCCCTCCCCACAAAAAAAAAAAAAATTCATTTGTTTGACTGTTTTGCTCTGAGCTTGGGTTCATTTTTGCGACTTTTCGATGCATTTTTGCAGAAATTCGCTCTGTGCTTTGGATACGATGTTTGCGAAGATTGCTCTGAGTTGGATATATTTGCAAAGTTTGGATGCATTTTTGCAAATTTTCAATGCATTTTTGCAAGTCTCTTCGTGCACAGACGCAAATACTCCAATGTTTTCTCCCCGGATCCCTCCTCGCACGCGTCCCCCGCCCTGCTCAGCAGCCCCAGCTGGAAGGTTCCTCCCCTCCCCCCTTCCACCCTGAAACCGCCCCCGCGGCGCCTGCCCAGAGAGGAAGCGACCCCGCGACCCCGCCGGGAAGTTTTCTCTGCAAGAAAAAATATGTTTAAAATAAATAAATAAATCGGCCTAGGCGACCCCGGGTGCTTGTCCTGCGCGGCCGGGGGCAAAGGCGTCTGGCGGACGAAGGCAGTGACTCTGATCCGAGATTTTGAGTAGCAGGAGCAGGGGCTCTGTCCACCGCCGGGGTAGGTGGCCCAGAAGTGTGATCGCCCAGGTATTTATTGTCATTAGTGACGTCATCTATCAGTCATAAAAATGTGCAGCTTCGTGAAAGCAGGATTGTATGGTTTCGGAGTTTAAACAAACGGGAGCAGAGGAGGCTCCGATGCTTACCAAGAGAACGGCCAACGGTGTGCAGGGTTGGGGAGGGGCACTACTACTTGGGGCGAGCATCCCCTCGCTTTTAGCAGCCCGTGGCACTTCCTCAGCTGCCTCGGCGTCGTGAGATGACCTAGGCCACGGATATAACCCCACCGCTCACCTTTGCGATCCGACCAAACGCGCCTCCAGCAGAATCCGGGCCGGATTTAAAGTTTGCAAACTTTGCAGGCTCCAGAATGTATTTCTGCAAATCCTGGGAGCTGGATGCATTTTTGCAAAAGGACTCAGCGAGCTGGATGCGTTGTTTGGAAAAAAAAAAAAAATCGTGGCTTTAAAAAAATTTTTTTTAATGAGGCACAGGAGTGGGAGATGGGGCGGGTACCCAGCAGGGTGCTGCGGCCCGGCTGGGCTCGGGAGAAGCTTCTGGCGAGGGCAGGGTGCAGGGCCCAGAGCCAGGAACTCCATCCGTATCTCGGAGGTGTGCATGAGCAAGGAGCTGCAGTCAGGAGCCAGGCGCTCCATCCGGATCTCCCACGAGGCTGCAGCAGGTGCACAGGGCCCTAAGGCATACCCCGCTGCTCCCATTCTGCCACCTGCAGGTCTCTGACAGCTTCGCCTGTGAGTGACAGCCTGACTGTCTACTTTGGGGCACTGGCAGGTGGAGCTCCGCTGATACCATCCCAGGAAGCAGCGGTGGAACCCGCCTGGCGCAGGCGCCAGGATCCGCTCACCTCTAACACAGGTGAGGGAGGGGCAAGGTGACGGGGCGGGGCCTCCTCCCCTGGCCTTGGGGTCTCCTGCTCCACCTCTTCCTCCTCCAGGGAAAAAGAAAATAAATAAAAATATTAAATATTAAGAATATATAAAATATATAGTATATAAAAATACAAATTATAAATTAAAATATAAACGTCTATAAATATTAAAATATTAACTACATATGAACGTATGTGTTATATTAAACATGCATTTAAAATATAAAAATTAAATAAAATATTGCAACATATTAAATATTTAAAATATATAAAATAAATAATACTGAAGATATTAAAATTAAAATAACAGAAAATATATGAAATATTAAAATGTATAAAATACAGTTATGAAATATACAAAATATTAGAAATATGTAACAATATTAATTGTGTATACAAATAAAAGTATGAACGATAAAATATTTAAAATTTAGAATATATAAAATATTTAGTATATGTCATATACATTAAAATATTGAAATATAGAAAACATTAAATTATGTGAAAATATTAAAAGTAGATACAAATAAAATACAAACTCACACCCTCTCTGCATCCAAAATTAAAACAAAGGCAAAAGGCAAAAAAACCCTCCCATTAAAAAATAAAACCCAGACCCCATCTGCAGGTGGAATTTAAATCAAAGGCAAAGCAAAAATCCACTGCAATCAAAAATATAAAAACAGATCTTTTCAGCTGCAAATCCTTGCAAAGACCACAGAAAAATTCCTTGCCATTAAAAAAAAGGAAAATACAAATTTGCAGCTGGAAATTTCATAAAAAAGCAAAGCAAAAATTCTTGGCCATTAACCAATCAAACCCCAGCTCCCTGTGCAACTGGGACTGAGCCCAAACACGGAGCAAGAGTTCACTGCAATTTAAATAACATTTAAATAACAACACACGCGCATAGGCTAGGCAGCCAGGAAGTGCTTAAAGCAAAGCAAAAGTTCATTGCAATTAAATTAAATGGATTACAGGCCCAGTCTGCACCTGGTTTTATTTTTTTATTTTTTTTTAAACAGAGGCCAAGCAAAAAGTTCTTTGCAGCTAAAAAAAATTAAATCCAGACCTTCTGTAGCCAGTGGAAACCAACGCAAAGCAACAAGTCCCTTGCAATCAAAAAATAAAATAAAATAATTTTAAATAAAATAAAATGAAAATACAGACTCTTTATAGCTGTAAATCTGTGCAGAGACTGAGCAAAAATTCATTGCAATTTAAAAAATCATTGCAATTAACAAATCAAGTACAGACAAACTCTGCTGCTGGAATTTAAATAAAAAATGCAAAACTTTATTGCAATCAAAAATATAAAATTACAGTCCTTTGCAGCAGCAAACCTGTGCAAACAAAAAGAAAATTAATTGCAATTAAAAAATAAAATATACACATTCTGCAGCTGGAATTTAACTCAAAGACATTGCAAAGTTTTACCGCAATCCAAAAATTAAAAATTCAGCTCTTAGCAGCTGCAAGTCTACAAAAATGGAGCCAAAATTCATTGCAATTAAAAAATTTATTGTACTTAAAATATAAAAAAAGACAAACTTTGCAGCAAGAAGTAAAAGCAAAGGCATGGCAAAAATTTGTTTCAATCAGAAAAAATACAGGTGTTTGGGTTTGGGGTTCGAGTTTAGGGTTCTGGTTAGGGTTAGAGTTTGTGTTAGGGTTCAATTTTGGGTTAGGCTTTGAGTTTGGGTTCCATTAGGGT